GGAAACGTCAATCTTATCTGTTTTGGTTTACGCTTATTTATGCAAAGTGAAAACAAACAATGGCAATTCCAAAAATGTCGTCAGTTTGCTGCGATAGTATTACTGAAGAAATTTGGTCGTTCCCACTCCTTTGCGCGCGTAAAATTCCTCGCGCGTTACAACAATGCGCAATCATTTTGTCGCTGTGTCCCTAGTCATAGCGTTCGCACATGCGAAGAAGTTTAACTGCTGTATTCACATTGTGGAACTTACTTCTCAACTTTTTGTTATTACATACTTAGGCGAGTTCGGTTTAATTTCCCGTCATTTCATAAATTGTACAGTGTATCATCATGCACAAAGTAAGCAATTCAGCCCGTATGCAATGCTTCAAAACTTATTTTGAAAGACGTTTTTGGGAGATGAAAAAGGAAGAATTATTAATCTAATGAACCAGTTTTTTTCATTTTTATGATAATTTTTGAAATACTCAGTCCAACTGTCATCGCTCTTTAGAAAATGAATGGTCTAGAGTTGATCAAATGATATTCCAAGTGATACAGCATTGGAAAAATACAGAAGTATTTTGAACAAGAAATACTTTGAGGCATAGAACGGCGGTCTTTCTTTGAAGATAAGGGTATATGCACGTCACTGGTATTGTTATGAAACGCTTCGGAAGACATCTTGAATGGATCAGTATTAGCAAGAAAAAAAATGCACTTAACATTTGACTGCTGACTGCTCAACTTACGCAAACTGGAACATACTTATATCTGGTTTTTGTATGTTTTTATTCGTGGTTTTGTTTTTTTAAGTAAATGTAATATACTGAGTTAATTGTCCTTAGTATTAAAAGAGAATATAAGCAGTTTATAATCTCTTAGTATTAAAGACTCGTGGCAACAAACATCATGGCCATTGTCAACAAAATTTTATTTCGCTGAGTACTCTGGGTACTTGTACAATTTACGAGGCATTATGGGAACTCATTCAAAACATTACAATGATTAATTATTATGGTATATGTTAGCTGAATGTTTGTCAGAAGCAATCGTTGAGAGTTAGCTCTCTGAAATTCTGTGAGGGTTAGCGTTCTTTGAGGAAAACATCTCTTAAAGATTAATATTACACCAGGAAAAAAGCACGTACCGTTCCACTGATATTTGCACTCATTCTTGAGAATACTTAAATTTTTCAGCAATATCCGTCTGGGTAATTATTTGTTAACTGAATGCATATTAACAAGTACACGTTTTTGCTCGTTATCCGGCTTTAATCATTAAGATTTTTCTTTTAGGTAATTCGAAGCAGTGATAATTTGTAGAGAAGGATATATTTGCCTTTCAGACCTCAGAAACTCATGTTGACAACTATTTCGTGCTCTTTGCAATCGTATACGCGCTAATTATACAGGAAATTGATTCTTGAGATTTATTCAAGCAAATAAACTGACCCGGTATTAAAATGTTCTGATTCCTAAGTCTCATAACTTGTAAAGGGCCGATGTGGGCTCTGTGTCGGGATAGACTGGGAAATGGTTGGGTCAAAGCACCGTCTGAATATTGAGGCGATGTGCTTCGAGATATGTTGCTCACACGCAGACTCTTATCTTGAAGTTGATTTTATTTGGCAAATAAGGTCGTATATACTGGCAATTATCCTGGAAGAGGATGTAAGTAAGTGAGTTTTTCCGGTTCCTTTGCCAATGATTCAATTTGTTTTCAATGGCCTTATCAATTATTCTTCATTGCACATCGTATATGCTGCGGAATTCGATCTGACGATGAGCAGAAAAACTAATTAAAAAAACGAAATTGAGGAAGCTAAAACAACATGAAAGTAGAGTTTTGTAGGGAATGAAAGAAAATAGGGCTAAAAATTCAGTTGAAATATCATCAGGCTTCGATCAACAACGTTTCTGTATCGGACCTCAAGAAGTGTTATTATTACTTTCATGGTTTGTCTGAGACATGACAGCTACAAGTCACGTAGCATGAGAAGCCCTCTCAATTACGAATGTGGTCCAATACTCAAAAACAATTAACAAATACCACTTGAATAAATTCACAGTAGTATAAAAATTGTATTATTCGCAGCGCTGTATTCATCCGAGAGAAGCTACTTGCTGAGAAGCAATACTTCGTTAGAGTTTTGTAAAATCCTTTGCAAACAAACAGACAATAACGCCATGAAGACTTGCAGTTTTTTTGTTAGGTTTACCCTCGCTATTGCCATGGTGAATGGATTCAGCACCGAGGAACGTGTAAAACGTTTCTTTCGCCCAGAGCATAGAGCACTTCTGCCGGATTTAACCAGCTTTCAGATCGAAGACGAGAATAGCGTGGCGCGTGTTCCACAGAACGATGATTCCACTCAGTGTCTCGCCCGCTGTGAGCCAGAGTGCCAAAAGTTAGACGTGCCGGATTTTTTAACAGTAAGAAAATTTTGCTTTCTTAAGTTGTATTTATTGGTTCTTACGAGTATCCAAGTCTAATAGGCGTAAACTGCATGAGATTTCTAGTCTCGTGCACCGTGCATGATACAGGTTCCACGGCTTTCTAGAGCAACCGAAGCACCCCATAAAGAACGCGTCATTTGAAAAGGACACAAACTGATGTACTTTTTAGTTCCCATATACAATTAATAATCTTTATCGGTTACATTCTTGGTTTTCTAAACTTTTCCGCTTGTTTTTAATGAACAGAAAAACACCAGCTTCCATAAATTTCAAGAGATGCCTACCAACTGTGTCCTGGCTTCTACTATCGTTTTCAACGAAAATCCATTGTACAAATGTCAGTTTATGTTGCTGTACTTGTTCGATTGCTGCCGATATTGTAACGCAGTCCACAAGAAATGTTTGGATCAAAATGGGGCTTTAAACGGCGGTCCAGAGTACTGCTATCGTCAGTCCTTCAATTGTATGGGTAAATGCATAGAAAAGAACTCACCACCAGAAATCGCCCCATTCCCTTAAATTCCTGGAGAACTCTTTCAATTTTTCCTATGCTGTGGCATTAATTTACCGAACGGTATATCTATCCTATTAAGGGAAGTTTTTTTCCTGATCAGTTCATTGTTAGCATTGCTAAATAGTTTTAACCTCCAGTACTTCAAAATCAACATTAGCAAGTAATTCCCTCCATGTAACGAAGTTTTTGTAACCTATTGTCAAAATAAATGTTTGATACGAAATTCGTTGTTGTCCTTTAATATGACTGATCACATAAATAAATTACTGAAATAACTAAATATATAGAAATATAAATGGAAACCCCCTTGTTCCTTTATCCTCTTATTATCAAGTGCACCCCCTTGATACTTTTTGAAGAAGTTGTGCTATTAAGCACTATCTCTATGTTTAGTTGAAAACATCAATTTCCCTTCCGACAACGATCTTGATTCTGAAACATTTGTAATAATGTACACGAAAAAATTACATGCACGCTTCTGATCTGCTGAAAACCAGCGCATTCTCACTGAACAAGAGTGCAAAGTTGTAACACAAGTGCAAATTACAAATAGCGCGCGCACGCTTTCAGAATTTCGTCTGTTCTTTAGACTTTCTGTGATGTTGATTCATGTACATTATTAACAAGTAATAACATGATTTCTCTATAAATTTGGTGTAATAGGCACTTGTAACTTTTTCAAAGACTACAAATTTCACTCGCCCTTCGGGTTCGTGCAATTTTGTTGTCTTTGAAAAATTCACTCGTGCTTATTGACACCAAATGGCACTCGAAATAATCCTATTACCTATACTACCTTCTCGATAAGTCAAACTCATTAGAAAATTGCCATTTTTTCTCGTGAGGTCGCGAGTATACATGTATAAGGAATTCAGCCGGCTGGCTTGTGTACAAACCGATAAAATCTATGAATTTACTTGCTATTCAAGAATACCTTTATTATTTTTTGTTGCCTTGGACCCGTAATAGGAAAAAAAAAGAGAGAGAAATGCTCAAAGATCGTAATAAACAAAGTTGACTTGCAGTTTTTTTTTCATAACAAACGTCGTGCGGATGTACTTAATCTTTTTGCAAGTGATATTATGAAGCTCTGTTGGTTGCACGTGTACAGAAAACTGTTTTTTCCTCCTACTGATTGAGAGTGATATATTGACAATGGACGCACCAGATCCACGTCTGGCGATACTTCTTGTTTTCGCGTTTCCTGTGGTGTATATGGGGTTCACCGATAAAAATTTGAGATAAAGATTAATAACATTCCTGTCCATGTAAGCTCTTAAAATTTAAATGCCACACTTTGTTTATTTCAAGAAGTTTCCGATCTTATACTGTGCATGTCGGAACAGCTTTTATGTAACGTTTTGAAGTGGATCGGCAATTTAATGACAAATATAAGTTATTTTTCAAGAGATAACGGGAAAAAAGCCGAGAAAAAAGTCACGTATGCTGTAAACTGGAATAATACTCACAAACAAGATATTCATTGTCATTAATCTTAGCTACAAAATCTCTTTTAAAAAGTCTCTTTTTTGACAACCGGCAAATCATAAAGATTTATTCTTTTTAAGCTTGTATTTATCGTTTCGCATGTAAACGCATTGAGAAAATAGGCTTGTATATGCGCATACATGATAACATTTCATTGTACTAACAAAGTTATGCTTGGCCGATCCTTTAGGAGTAGCCAATCAAAATGAAGCCACAGTTATTCAGGTCAATCTCGTATGGTTGATGCGATATAAAAGGCTTTTTACCTCCCCAAACTCATTCAGTGTACTCTTCGTTTTCTTGAACACGGATTTCCAATATAAAAACTTCTTTCTCACCCGTCAATATGAAATCGTATTTGTTTATTTACTTTTTCGCTGCTACGCTTTTGGCTGCCCAAGGCCAATACGCTTCGAGGGATTTTTACAACGACGAAGCTCACGAAGCCCTCGAAAGAATACCAGATGAACCTAAACTGCCGAGTTTTGAAGAAAAGCTTATTGATGCACAAATGGTTCAAGAGGACAGTCATAATATGAGTTGTGACTGTGCTAGCGAGTGTAACAAGCTTAACGTTAGCAGGTTGCCGCACGATGTTCGGGTATGTGGTTATAATATTGCAAGGATACGTTTGTGCATTAAAAGAAAAATCTAAGTATCGCAATGCACCTAATCTTACTTATACGCGTGAGCAGCAAATACCAACCGGAAAATAAGAAGATTTTGCTTTACCCTCTGTTTTGACTCTCTTACCATAATTTGTACTTAGCTATCAGTTGTTTTGGCGTAGGCGTAGTGCGTTCAGTTCACCAGGGATGGTACTTCAAGCTGTTTTATTGTTATAACAGGGTAATTTAGTAATATCAACTGAATTGATAACGTAAATTGGTGTATATCATGCACCTTAAAACCCTCCTACATGTAACTGCGTACAGTAAGAAGTATCAATGATGACCCTGATTATATGTCTTTTTTAAACATGCAGGACGAGGACAAATACCTTAGCTACGAAAACTACCCAGTGTTATGCCGTGATGCTGCAGCAATTTATCTGCGTCCTTCGCTCGCAAACGAACCGGCCAAGAAGTACGTCTGCAAGCAAGTGTTTGACTGCTGCCGAAGTTGTAACTATTATTTTTACACTTGTATCAATAACCCCGATAACGAATATGGTCTGTGCATGCGCGGGGCTTATAAGTGTATGTGTGACTGCATTGATAACAAATCCTTCAACGAACTCCCTCATATGCCCTGACTGAGAATCTACACTTTGTAATAAGCACTGCTATCTAAGACAGTAACGTAACTAAAGTCACGTCGAGGTTCGAGTCGATCGATTACTCTGTTTTGTATCGCTGTTCACTGCTCTAGAGCTTCTGATAAAAACTTTGCTGTTTTGATATATATATATATACTGAGTGTTGTAACTTTTTTATTGCTAACGATCAATAAAAAATCTTATGAACAACTTATATCAGTTTAGTTATCATTTTGAGTTTTTAATTGTGATGCTGAAATAATAATGTGGGTTAGGATTGCGTAAGGACAAATCCTCCTCTTGTTTTGCATTCCCCTGTTTTAGTCTTTCCCTATTTTATATCTCTTCAATTCTTTGCCAGAGTATGATAACGAGAATCCTTTCTGTTTTGAATAATCTCTTACTCGATTTATGTTTTTTCACTGATGATTCGATGATTGAAATAGACAACACTTCCGATCAAACGCATTCGCATTTCACTATATAGAGGATCCCCAACAGGTTTTTCGGGATCCGGGATTAAGCATATTTAAAGGCCGGAATCCGGGAATTTAAAGTAAGAGGGGAGCGAGATGCGGGATTGCTATCATGAAGGGGACTCGGGAATCGGCGAGATTCGGGAAATAATCACTTAAACGAACCGAGAACCGGGATGTCCGTTGACGAGAGTTTATGAAGAAATTGATATTCTCAGTCCACGAAAAGCACTAGGCATACAGGTTCTCTAGCATTCAGGAGGCGGTCGGGCTGTTCAGCGACACTCTTTGAGTTATTGCGCGGCAATGAAAATTATATCAGCAGCGAAGTTGCCAATTTCCCAAAAATCCTCAATGGCCCAAAGGGTAACAAGGCATCTAAGACTGCTGCGTCAGTTGAAATACTTAACGGCCTCGAAAACCCCCATGGTGTCAGATTACCCAAGAAACTTTGGAAATGCAGCAAAAGATGGCTTAAAGGGGACAACCCGTTGGGCGGTGTACTATTTAACAAATCCAATTTCTTGGTATCCTGTACTTGAACGTGCCATGATCCTGTCGGCCATATCAGCAATTCAACCGTTACTACCTCTACAGGTGACAGTACAGAGCATATAGAAGATGAGGGACTGGGCGTAAACATTTGTTGCAGCAGTGGGTCACCGCTCTGTCAGACAGGAAACAACAGTGGCAATAGCTGCAACTCCCCCTTTGAACCTCTATTAGAGAGAAATTTAGCCGGGCGAACCGGTAAGCCTCGAACGCTCTGACTTCGAGGAGCAGCAAGAAAACAGCAGGAAACAAGACGAAAAGGAAGATGGAATATTAGAGCACGATTCCCCGTCAGTGATGATAGTGACATTCAATCTTTGGAACGAGAGGCTGATTTTTACCCGGGAAGATGAAAATCAGCTTCGTAAGAAGTACTCGCTTCAACAGCGGTATAACGGCTGCCACGCCTTTGCCACCGGACATTGATTCGCTATAACTTTGATTCGTGTTTAACCGTAACAATGACGTTACTGTTTGTCCATTAGGGACGTGATCTTTTAAGTTTTACCCAGAACCGCATTTAAGTTGGTTATCTTGCTTTGGGCTATCGATAAGACGTGTTTATCGGAGGAGCGCCTTTTTAGCCCACCTTATCTTGAAGATCGTTTTGGTTAAACTCTTACAAGCGGGAATTTTATGTAAGTACCTTTGTTCCTCTTCTTTGTACTTTTCTAAATACCTAGTATTTTGGTAGTTTCACCTAGTTTTTACACAAGTTTCCTTATCGCTCGTTTTCGCAACCCTCTAACACGTGGTTTACGTTGTTCACGCTTCGTTAGAACGCTACACGTTTTTCCCACTTGGCTATTAGTTTTTGTTAGAGTTCGTTTTCAAGCGGTTCTTCCTTTCTCAGCTCACCTTCTTCCTTATAATTTTCATATTTCAGTTTACGCTAAATACTTGGTTACCTTGACTACGTTAAACAAAACGATCCCAGTGTGTCTTCATTTGCGAAACTCATAGTTGTCGTCGAAAATTTGCTTCGCTACAAGCAGAATTGTGTTCAATTAAGTTTTCTTTATCTCCCTTGTTATGAAACTATGAGATTGCCGTCATCTTTCCTGTTTTATGCACTTGTTGACATTGCTATTCGTTTCTTTGATACCGACCTGTCTTTATTAATACGTTTGTCCGTGATCGAAGTTTAACGGAAGGAAGTCGTTACCGTGACTGGCTTACGTTATTCGTGCAAAACTTTGAAAACTTCTAAAGTAAACGATATCATTATTTTGATGAAAAGAGATAAACTTACACTTTACGTTGACCATAGACTTCAAAGGATCAATGCTGGAGAGAAAATCATCACCTACCGAAAAGGCCCTCCCAAGTTTAGGAAATAGACTTAGACAAATTGTATGATCGGGATCGGGATTGGCCAGAATAACCGGCGAGATTACGGGATTGAGAAAAAATTTTAGTCGGAATTGCGGGATTGAACGCTCTTTTTTT